TTTGCAAAAATGTACATATTAAGGAGAGTGTATATAAAAATGTGTATGAGTGTACAGATGTATGAAAATCAACACTGAATTAAGTGTACATTATATAGATTTAAAAAAAAAATCAGAGTTTGTCACGAAAGCACAGTGGAAGTGACTTTTGACTGAAACAAGGCATACATGATAGAAAGCAAAAGGCACCCATCCTTACTGGTACTGGAAAATATACCTGTTTATGATGCAGAGTATTAATTTTGGCAATGCCAGTGCCAACAAAGACATGGCTAACCTTGATATCAAAATGCCCTCTAAACTCTAAAATCAAACTTATGGGACCAAATGCAGTACTGACTGCATGTAGTCTCTGATTTTTAAATAAAATCCCATCAACCTAATTGTGATTTTAAGCACTACTGAGCCACGTTTAGATAGAAATCCCTGTTTTCAGGGACGAGTTCTCAAAATGAACAAGAATGAGCAAAATATTTCATAAGATCAAATAAAAAATATTAATTATGTCACTTCTTTTGGTGAGAGAAAATGTGTATTTCCTTTGCTATCAAGAAAAACAGTAAAATATACCTTCTCCCCAAATGAAAGACTCCCGGCTTTTCAATATCCTCATCCTAGGTCCATGGCCCACAAACCATTTTCCTTCAGCCAGAGACTCTTCTCACACCTACCTTCATCTCTATACTCAGAATAGTATTCATCTCTTGTTGGGACATATTCTTTGAAGTAAGTCCTTCTGGAGCCAAGAGCTGCAGGGCAGAATGAATTAGAAGGTGTTTAATTTGATCCAGCTTCAGTAGAGCCTGTACCTGGGTGACCTTGTCTAGGCTGGGAAACTGAGAAAGGTTGGGTCTGGGTTAGTACTATTACAAAATATCAGGGCTGTAGACTAGACTGAGAAGTTGCAAAACACTCTCAGAAAAAAACAATGGCAAATTATTTTTCTACTGTTGTCAGGAAGACAGCATGGACATGCCCACACAGTCACCCAGAGTTGAGCTCAGATCAAAGGAGACTTTCCCTTTTTAATTAAAACCTGGATTGTCCATTTCCTCAGAGCATTTAATGACGAACACACACGCCATTGCCCTGCTAGTTTTCTCCTGATTTTGTTTGTTTCCTGGATTGCTGTTCCTCATCCTTCTAATGTCTTTTGATTCTTAGTCCATGTCTGTCTTTTAGTCCTGCCTTAGCAATTCACTTCACTCACCTTCTCTTCCATAGCTGAAGTCTTCCCTGTTTCGTGGACTCACAAAGGTCTCTTTTACATAGCTTTGGCTGGTGCTTGGCTCTATGTGGGTAAGAAAAGAGGTTAGTGCCTGGCAGGGAGGCTTTTCTCCTTTTGGATCAGATTCTTCTTACCTGTGTGGGGCACTGATCCTCCAGGTGAAGGATGTTGGGTCCGCTCAGTCTCATATTCATAGACTTTCTTTTCATAAAGTTTCCGAGTAGATCCTGGGGAATGGAAACCAGGCTGAGGTTAAATCTAAGCGGACAACAATCTACAACCCTTCAGCCTCCTCTACATGCTCCTTGCTCTTCTACAAATTCTTCCTAGGTATTCCCAGATCTCTTTGCTGTCTTTGCTTCAAAGGCTTGCCAATTCCCAAAGGACAGCTCATTGTACAACCTGTCCTACATATTGCTCAAAGAGTACGTAAATCTGTGGTGGAAACACACCCAAAGCCACATTAATCCAAGATGAATGTGGGTTGGATATTTCAAAGGAAAAGCAACTCCTGGTTAGATGCAGCACTCCTCTTTAACCATTTTCAGACACTTCTGACTTTTCTTCTCCTTAAAGAGCCAGAAGATTCAATGAAAATAGCCATACTTGTTGTTCATGCATCCTCCTCCCTAACCTGTGAGAGCAGAAAGGCAGTATTTTTAAAAGGAACACTTGGTTGGAAAAGTGAATTTTTCCTCAACTTATTTCTCCATATGCTCCATCACTTCAGACAATTCATCTCTAGTGAAAAACCTTCCTGTTTTGAAAACTGGAGGAAGGCAAGAGGGAAGAGGAGAATAGAATCCTCTCTTACACACTGGTCTCTTCTGTAAAAGCCAGATGTGCAATCTTTCTGAGCCAAGAACCATCCTTAGCTTTCAGTGGTATGCTGAAGGGAGGGCCTGGCTGTGCTCCAAAAGGGAAAGGACCCAAACTAAAATGAGTGACTACAGGAAAATAAACTTGATTTAATTTAATGCTAATTAAAATAATTAAAATTAATTAAGGGTAATTTTACATCTAATCTTCAATATTTTAATAGCTTCCCCATCTGGCTCATTAACAATTACAATTTGGCAAAGAAGGGGCTGCACATAAGGTTTGGGGAGAAGAAAGCAACTTCATCTTTTACTTTTTTGCTTAATTTACAAATTCTTTCTCTCCTAGCCTGCTACTTCCCCACTTCCAAATTCCAAGGCATGTCTACTTGCTTTTTCTGCTCTGGGTAAAGATACTGTCATAACACATACCAACAACAGGCCCATGGGGGATGCTGTATTTCTTCAATCGTGCAATAAGTTCCTTGTCCGTCATACCTTTATACTCATCCATGGTGCTACCTAGAAAATGCAGAATGAGGGTGGGGAGAAATAAGTTACAGCCAAAATTCCTCAATAACAATTAATTGTACAATCAGAAAACACCTACTTTTAAAACTAAATAAAGATGTCTCACAAATGACTACCCCAGCCACTCAAATACAATATTTTGAAACCAAATGTAATTATAGTAACCAAGATTGCTACAGGTTTCCTGCAGAGCATGATTTCAGTAGAGGTGTGTGTGTTTTCTTTTCTTTTTTTCTGGAGGGGGCAAAATGAAATCAAGCTGTTCCTAAACCAGTTACATATGAAAGAAAGAAATGAGATGGGGAAACAAAACCCAAGTCTAACGTAAATAAACTCAATATTTGGAATATACCATATGTCCCAGAATAAAGGGCTAGGGACAATGTATAACTGCATTGTGCTCTATTATAACAAGAGCGGTTGAGCAATAATAGTAAAGGCAATATTGCTGCACCAAGAGCTTATATACTGAACACCTTACTACAAACTGGCCATTGTCTATGAATAGTTTGGGCCAGGGTTTCTCAACCTTGGCCACTTTAAGACGTGTGGACCAACTCCCAGAATTCCACAGCCAGCATATGCTGGCTGGGGAATTCTGGGA